CATTTTAAAGTGGTTTTGCACTGAAGAAAACATGGAAAATGTCATCATGATTTTTTTTCTTTGGAAATTAAATCAAGCAGTCATGAGTCATCAAGCAGTATTGTAATGATAATTCAAATATATTTACATTTTTTATGTAAAAGTAAGTAAAGTATAAATTTGTACGAAATAGTTAATTTAAATTATAAATTATTTTTGCTAAAGGAAAACATGGAAGAATTTACATTAATTTAATAAATGCAATAAATGCAATTTGTAATCAATTGGTTAATTTTAATTAACATGTCATTTAACAGTTAAGCTGAGAACATCAACTGAAAAGTCATATTTTTTCCGTGTGGTCTGGAAGGACTTTCACGGTTTCATCTCTCATTTTCCCCACCGCTCAGTGCTTATTTGGGTTAATCAGAGATAATGTGTCTCTCTGGCCTAGACTTTGTGGATGGCTTTGCCATCAGTCAAATGCCAACTGCATTAACTGCTGACAGGGCACTTATAAACCAGCGATGGGAATCGCAAAAAGTGGATTGCCAAGCCAGTGGGCAACAATTTGACACTGCCTCTCACCTTTGAAGCAAAAAAATTGATACGAAATGGCATTTCCTCATCAAACTGTCGCCGCATGTCACAAATTTCGTTATATTTTTATTATTTTACCATTAACCTTTTTATTACGCACGCATTTCCCCACACCCCCTCGACCACATGAAGGAATTTTGACGATATTGAATGCCGGGTGTTTGTCCCGATGCAATATTGAATATTTAATTCCCGCCCATACGAATGAATGTCCAAGGGCGCATAACAATTTCTTGACATGTGCGCCGAGTTCCCCAATGTGGCGACAGTTTTTCCTCTTTTTCCCCCCGCTTTTCCTCGCTGCTAACGACATTTATATATCGAAAGAAACAAAAACGCCACAAAAGGGCAAGAGAACAAAAAGATGAAAACAGAAGGAGAAACAGGAAAAAAAAGAATAAAAAGAACCAATTGACTTTCATTTTGTCGGCCATTTTCACAGCGTCGTTTGTCCACCAATACACATACGTTTGTACACAAACTCACATCCCACGTATTTATGTACATGTGAACGCTTCCTGTTGCTGAACGCAATCATCTGATTGCAGTTTCGATGTGAAATAATTGGATTTGAAATAAAAATGTCCCCCCGTTTTGTTGGGTCCTGACCATTTGACTTCCTCCCGGGAATTTCTCTGGGTTTCTGGCCTTTGGGTTGTGTGTATTGGCATAATTTAGCCGTGGCTTCATTCACATTTACGTCCTTTTTAACTGGCGCATGTGTCACTAATTTAACGTTTATTTTTATTGCCCTGCTCGCCTGGTTTGATCTTCATTTTCAATATGGGTTGTAATTCTTAATCTTAAAGGTGTAACTGCATGTTTTTCGAGCCAAGCCCCAACCAATAATAGTTGAAATATTTTAAAATAAGTACATGATTTACATTTGTTTCACTGCAATAAATATAGTTAATTTCTCAGTTAAATACCAAGCATTAAAAATAATAATAACTAGCAAGTGGAATTGAAATTGCTTAAATAAAAATATAATTAATTTATTTAAACGGTAAACGGGGGTTTTATTTCATTTCTGAAAATAATAAGCGGATTTAAATTTCACTATAAAGTTTTCCAGGAGTTTGGCAGGCAATTGTTTTCCATATGGAATCGTTTAAAGTCCTGAAAAACCGTAAAAATACAATATTATTGGCTCGACTGCTTCCATCTTCAATTTCCCTGGCTTTTCATGGAATTTCCTTTCACTTAATTGATATTCCCTTTCGCAGCACAACAATAACGGTCTTTATCCATTCTGCCATTATATAAAATATATGTTAACTTAATCCCCTCCCCCCAATGAAATGAGAATGCCAGTGATGCCATAGTGATTTTACTCTTTCAAATTAAATTTCTCAATTTTATTATTTTCACATTTTTTCGGTTTTTTCTTTGTTTGCATTAAAATTGTTTTGGGTTTTTTCGAGAAGATTTCATAAAATGTTTGCCATGTTATCTTTACACTTTTAAATGCTATCCATATTTGCTATATCAATAATACATTTCACTTAATGCTACTGTTATTTTTAATCTTCATACATATATTCTTTAATTTGTTTTATCAACCCTTTACGCTACGATTTTGGCAGCACTAAATCTAACATTAATATATATATGTATATATTTGGAATTTTTCCTCCAGCAGATATTTTTTGTGGAATATTCTTTGTTTGTTTGCTGGTTGCCCCAGCGTTTTTTACTATATTTTCACATTCGGTTTTAGTTGTCTATTTACAAATACACATGAAAAATTATGCTGCAACTATTGTTTACCTTTACTTATTGGAATTTCTGCAATTCGCATCTGTTTCTGAGAGCTCTCGATTTTCTGTTGTTTAATTAAAATGCTGCGCGCGTCATTTGGGCTTAACTAAATATTTGCTGTGTTTTTGTAAATAGAAGTATTTGTTTAATAATTATTTGCTCGGCTTTATGCTAGAATGTATCTCTTTTTTTTCTCATTTCCTTGTTTCTGTATAATATATATATATGTATCTGTAACCGTACATACAATGGTTTTAATGGCTAACGCTACAAACTGTACGTCAAATATTTGGCAATTAGTTTTTGTAGTTATTGTGGGTTTTTATCGCATTTTACTTTGATTTTCGACAAATTAAATGCAAATATTAACGTTACTCGAATTGTGCTTCTCCTGTCTCTCGCTTTGTTCTATTTTACTTTTAATCCTTTTGTTTTGCCTTGGTAAACTTTAAATACATATTCTATGGAAATTGTACATGCAATATTCAGAATTGAAATGTTAGTTCAAGTAAACTTCGCTACAAGTAAATGTTATAACTATAATTTACAGTTTGACGTTTCAATGTACAGCGCAATTAAGTTTAATTATTGTTTGCTATCCATACGGTCGAGATGTTTGTTTCGAGTTCTATTTTCCTCTCCTCCCCTTCGACCACTTTTCGAGTCTGCCCAATTATGAACGTTATTTACGATCCCAACAACCGCCAACTGCCCAATGGCCAAACAAAAGGCAACTTATTTTCACATAATTTTCTAAATCGCCCCCATTTACGGCCCCGAAATGTCGTCCGAAAGCCATTTAGCAGGCAAATAATTACGTCCTGGCCCGGACCAACTTTATTAACTGCGCAGGGAGACAAAAGCCGAGGGTCCCGGGGTCTGGAACCCATCACATGCCGAGATTGTGTGGAATGCGAGCTCCGAAAGTGTCAAATATCGAATTAACTCATTTCACTTGCTACGCCGCTGCTCTGGAGAACTTCCTAAATCTTGGCCAGCTGGCCAGTGTCATAAGCAAAAAGTCCAAAGGGAAACCTTCATTAAATTTGACAATGCTCCAGGACTAAATCCAACCGGACTTCGGACTCTCTGGGTCACTCAAGCCCCACACACTCTGCCGTAGGGTTTCTTTTGTAGGCGAATTTTGTGCTGTGCTGGCAAGTCGGCAAATAAAAAGGTTCGCCCTCCTGCGGAACTCTCAAAAAATGCCCTCCACCCTTCGACACTTGCCCACTTGGAAGTGGAAGTTCCTTAATTAAGATTTTGTGCGTCCTGGCATCGGACGCCACTCGAAGGAGAAGGACTCCCCGCCAGCTCGCTCTCTCTGCTGCCTTCGTCATCTAATCCCACCCAATCGGGCGTGGGCTGTTGGTCAGCATTACTTTAATTGTTGTTCGGAGCGCTTTGTCGGGCATTTCGCTTTTGTGGCCGAAAATAAATCCTTCTGAATTGCTTAAGCGGACTCTGCTAGAACGCCTTCCAACCTCCTGCCCAAAAAAAGTTTTATCTATCTGCACTTTGACAAAATTGGGTATCGAATTTTATACTTCAAAATGTTTGGTTCATTTTCAGCACAAATTCGAAATATCAGAATCTTGTTGGTTTTATGAGAATCTTATATTTCGAATAAGGACAAATTTAAAGATTTTGGGATTTTTGCTTTAGTTAGTATGCATTAAAAACTTCATATTCATACGATTGCAAATTTTAAAAAATTATTTCTAAAGCTTACATTTCAGAGAATGTTATTTTTAAAAGTTCTTAAAGACTTTAAGCTGAGTAAATCCCTAGTGACCTTATTCAAGTTCATTAGAAATCATTATTTTTCCGAGTGCTTTCTAACCCGAATCCAAACCTCTCTCTTTCACTTTCGCCGACTGTTTCCTGTTGCTGTCGCTTGTGTGCACGCGCCTTCTTCTTGTATTCCAATTACAAAGCCACAAAAAGTTGAAAAAGCTGTGCAATGACTGTGGTCCGTCTTCAGTTCAGCTCAGTTCAGTTCGGTTTAGTTCAGTGGTTGGGGTCGCAAGATTGTTGCACAACTTTTTATCGTGTCTTAATGTAATTGTTGTGTTCTCTGTTCGTTCAACGTTCCTTTGGCCATTCCCTTAAACATTTAACCCACCCCCGGAGATCCAGCCGCGTGTCTTGTAATTTGATTTGCTGCCACATTATTTTGATGTCCGTTAGATACATGTACATAGCACCACATATAGCCCCCAAATAGTTTTACAACATTTCACTTTTGGCGTTGCGGATTAGATGTCTGGCCATTTGGCTGGATTTACACCATATGTTGTGTTGGTCAATTTGTAAAATGAGGTTAAGTGCGGGTCTGATTCCGAGGGAGGGTGTTCTTGAAGCCCAATTCCCCCCTTTGCAGCATTTTCAAATGGGGTGAAGAATGCTAGATGCCAGTGCAGATAGAGAAAACACTTCTGCCATCCAGAGGGTGGGTGGAAATTTTCGAAGGAACAAGGGGCGAAACTTTAATTAGATTGCAATTTAAACTCTGGCATTTGAAGCAGCAGGAAAAGTGGGTTAAGATCTGGCCGAGCACCGGACTTGGGAGAACAGGCAGCCTTGAAGGATAACAGAAACAAGCAGGAAAATGCTTGAAAGTTTGGTACACAGAAAATATAATAAACTCTGTAGTTAGTTAGCTCCAGAAGTCCCAGTAACATGTTTATCAACATTTTTGTTTGTAATCAAAATAAATTAAAAACACAATTACCAATTTAGTTGAAATTATATCCCTGCTGAGTGTCAACTACCATATTAAATTTACTCTCGAACAATTTCCTTCGATTTATCCGCCTTGCTTTCAAGCATCTGCTGCCACAACTTGTGATTACTGAATTGGGGCTGTCATAAACTAAATTGTTATTTAATACTTGATCGATATTTCATTTTTATATGCATGACTATCGAAACACTTAATCTTGGCAAACGGACAGGCACTTATATAAAGTTAACTGGGCCGCACACGGTGGTCTGTTGGCCAGTAAACTGACCCAAATACGACCGCAAGATGGACATTGACTTCGGATGGCTCGTAAAAACTTTGCTGGCGTTGGCTATTTGGCCCGTTGGCCATTTGGCTCGGCCGCTTGTCTACGCGGCGTATACGTAACTTAACGTAAGAGGAATTTATGACAAATTGTTGCTGCTAACCGAATCGCTAAGAGGCCTGCAACGTGTGGGCACTGAGGCATCATAAATCAAGCCAGGAACTCAAAATATGTAGAGAGAGTCTGGCATTTATGATTCCTTTTTTTGGAGTTCTCTAGGGAGTTTTATTTGTAGCCTTTTGCATTTTTGATTATCGTCCTAAAAATAGGCGACACGTAAATATTAATTCTCAATAGCATTTCAGAGTTATTAGCTAAACGAAAACGATTTTCATTTACAGTATTGTATGTTTATATCTATGAACTGGGAATATTTCGGAATCTTTTAGGATATTTCAGAGGTTATCTATTTAGGCCTGGTTTTCTGACTCATTTGGGTTTGTTGGCAACTGACGATTGTCGGTCGTACTCCATTCTTTCCTACACTTTTACTCTACTGAAAGGGTGCGTATTGCCGCTGGCCAAAGACGGTTTGTCACCAGATGCCCAGCCGCCGCGAACTGGGGGCCATCAGTCTGCTGCTCACCGATTTGATGGGAGCCGCCGCTGCTAAAGGTACCGCTGCTGTTGTACCACCCAGATCGGTGGCAGCCACTCGATCCGTTCGACCATTACCATTACCATTACTCCTGCTGCCCAGCAGCTCCATGGGCAGACTGGGCAGGGTGGCGGCTGGACTGCTGGGCGCCATCTCTATGTAGTAGCTGTCATCTCTGCTCGGCGAATGCAGGCTACTGCGACTGCTACCCGAGGAGGAGGAGGAAGACCCTGTGGAGGAGCTCTTGTCCGCCAGGGATGAGCTGTAGAACTGCTGACAGCGCTGCTGTTGCAACTCGCGAGCCTGCAGATTGTGCAGCGGTGAGCTGTAGGGAGCCTCCCTCCTGGTGCTGTGATGCCACTTCTGCAGCCGAGCCGGATCTCCCGCGGAACTCACGGATCCCTGATAGTGCAGAAAGCTATGGGCATCATCGGTTTCGCTGAGATGCCTCTGATGATGCGGTCTCAGCTGGCCGGATCGATTGCTCCGCTGCCAGGGCAACTCACAGCGATAGACGTGAGCCAAACCGGCCAACAGAACGATGAAAAGAACGCAGGCCACCAGCAACATGACACCCGGATGATTTCCCGTCAGATTGTGTAGACTCTCCTCTCGCTGGTCCATCAAATGTTCCGGTTTCGATTCGCTCTTCAGCTCGACATAGGCTTTTAGCTGCGCAAAAGTACTGAGCTCCTCCGGCGAGGCCTCCTTCGGTGTGTTGACACTGCTGTGCTGATGCAGCTGCTGTAGCTCTGATATTGGTGACTTTGAGGTGACTGCCAGTTCCTCAACGGTCTTAGGCGCATGCTTGGTGCTGTAGGTCATCTTCTTGATGCTCAGCGATGGCTTCTTCTTGTGGCTTTTCGCCGGCGTCTTTGTGTCGCCGTTTATTGCTTCCGCTAGTCGCTTATCAGCCGCTGACTGCTGCTGCTTTTCTTGCTTTTGGCTGGCGGCCAGGACTTCCGAATGCGAACTGGAATCCTCATCCGCCACGGTGGCCGTTCCGGGCAGCAACAACTGTTCGGCGTCCACTAAAAGGACATCGCCCTTGTGCATCAGCAGCGGTGTGCCAATTAGATGTCGATCCTTAACGTGCAGCTGCAATGTTGCATGTTTGTGTGTCGGTGCTGCCACTTGACCGGATGCAGTGTCCCTCGGTATCCCTGGGTATTTTAATAAAGTCTCCTGTGCTTCTTCCTTATCGGCTGGCATTTTGTCAGATTTTTTACTGGCCAAAATTGTTTGTGGCACTTCAATTGCTGGCTGTGTTGCTGATGTTGCTGCTGTTTTTGTGGCACCGCTAATGTTCGTTGGCCTGTTGGAATTTATTGCTGTTGTTGGTGCTGCTAGTGTTGCTGTTGTTGTTGCTGGTGTTGCTGCTGGCGTTGCCAAAATGGTTGGAACCGCTGTTGTTGCTGCCTTTGTCTGGACCAAACTTGGCAGGTTCTTTGCTGGCGTTGCTGTTGTTTTGGCTGGCATGCCAGGCATTTGTTGCCGCTGCTGCAGTTGCTCTAACGAAGTTGTTTCTGTTGGCCGCAAAGTTTTTGTGGTTAACTGGGCAACGCTGTTGCCAGCTGATTGCATTGCTGGTGTTGCTGTTGGGATTGCTGTTGTTGTTGCAGCCTGTGTTTCCGTCGTATGTGCTGCTGTTGTTTTTTCTGCTGATGTTGCTGCTGCTGCTGCCGTGTCTGCTCCCTTTGACTTTTTAACTTTTGAAATAGTTCTCGGAATTGCTGTTGTTGTTTTTGTTGGTGCTGCCATTGCACTTGCGAGGCTGCAAGATGGCGGCTTTGTGTCATCTTCCGGTTGCCTTTTGCCGCACTCTCGCCTGCTGAAGCTGTCGTAAAAATTGTGGAACTGCAGATACTCCTGCTTCAGATCCACCCGCCCACTCAGCACACTCCCCCCCGTCGACGACGACTGACCCACATCCACTGACCTGCAGGGACTGGCCCACTCGGCAATGCCCAGCAAATCGCTGCATTTGATGGGATTTTCATCCAGCAAAAGATCCCTTAGCTGGGGCAATGTGTGCACTATCGATTGGCTGACGCTCTCCACGCCAGAAGATTGCAGATTCAGGGTGAGCAGCTTGGGCAGCGAGAGGGCGGGCAGAAATATCAAACGATTGTTGGACAGGTCGAGGGTCTGCAGATTGACCAGACCCACGAAGGCCTGTGGCGGTAGCTCCATTATCTGATTGTGCTGCAGGAACAAGTGTTCCAGCGAGGTGGGCAGACTTTGGGGCACTCGCTGCAGAAGATTGTGATCGAGGAAAAGGGATTCGAGCAACTCCAGTCGCCCCAATGCATCGTCCTCCACTTGGGCGATGCGGGAATGCGAGAGATCTAGGTACTGCAGCAGTGGATAGCTGTCCATGTCGCCGCAATTGATTGCCTAAAAAGTGAGAAAATAATTCTATAAGTTTTTAATGTAATATAATAAATTAGAAACTTAAAAAATTGTATAAAATATTTTAAAATTTTCTGAAATTTAAAAAATAACTCCTTAATATATGTTTAATTTTTTTTCCTTTCAAAATCTGACCCCTTTTGTGGTTAGGAAAAACTTTTCTGATTTAATCCCCGTCTAGCCACTGACTTTGCCAGCACTCAGAAAGTTATTGTTCTGGGCGAAAGTCTGAGGAAATTTGATTAGTGGCTGACAAAGAGCGAAAGTGCGAGATGCATGCCCCCATGCGACATTGTTTAAAAATTAACTTAAATCTGCCATTATAATTACTTCAAAGGACTCGACTCGACAGCGAACTTGCCCCTTTTGTAATCCCTGCGATGCCTGAAATGCCCCGAGCCATGCTCGTCTGGCACCAAAGTAAACATAGACGCGACTCGTTAAATGAAACGAGTGCCAGGCAACCAGGAAGCCAGACAGCCTGCCGTCGTCTCTGTCCTGGGGCCACCGAAGAAATGAAAGTATGATAGTCTATGGTATAGAAATTGGGGTGGGGAGCATCAGGGGCTCAGGATGGGCAGCCAGCGGCCCCTAAACGCCATAATTTGCCATGAAAAGGCTGCGTGTTGACTGCCGATAAAGGCGGTGGCAAAAGGCAGTCGGCCTGGCCCGGCGAACAAATTAAAATGGCTTGGCAACAAAGGCACCCGGGAGCAGTGACGAGCCACTCCAGGAGCAGCAGGAGTGGCAGCAGCGACTGCACAGATAGTTGGCTAGTACACTCGAAAAAAAGTCACCAACAATTATTTCCTTGTAAAATAATAAATAACAGTGCTAGCATAATGACGAAACATCTTTTAAATGAAATGTACAGGAAATTTAAAAAAAAAACACTTAAATACCATAGCTTCTTTGAAAATAATTAAACTATTTTATCAAATAAAAATGAAATAAAGTAAAAATTGAGATTTTTAAGACCTTAAGATTAGAGTTAGGAAAAATATTGCCATTTTACTATTTTTTCATGTTGTGTTGAGTATTCCCTTCAAAGACAAAATTAAAAAAAAATATATCCAGTAAATTAGTCGAATTTAGGTTTGCAATTGTCATAAAATCTTAATAGACCTACATGAAATTTAAGGCAATGTCGGCTACTAATCTAAACCCCATTAAAAATTGTTTGTTTTAAGTGTACTTCTAATTCCAGCTCCTGTCTCAACCGTTTCAGCCGTCTCAGCTGCACGTTGGCTGTTGGCTTAAACGTGATTATGCTTATGCCAATTATCCTTATTTTATTAATGCCCAGGCCCAGGATCCTGCTCCTCCCTCGCCTCCACCTCCCCGGCTGGGAGCCTTTGTCTCTGGCCCTAAACAGCTTACGAAGCGGTATTTTTGCACCTTTTATGGCTTCCGCCATAATCGACAGAGCGACAAAGGCAGCCAAAGCAAAAGCGACGGCGGCAGCCTCAATTTATGCGCCGCATTTGTTTGTCTACACTTGAAGCCGTTTAAGGATAATACCTGGGCGCAAGGAAACGAAGCCTGCGGACCTGCTGAGCTTTATGCCCATAATGCAATCGGGATTGTCTATTTTTGTGCCCCTTATAAATCTGTTTGCTGTTTTTCTAGCTGTTCGGTGTGTGTGTAAATGTTTGAGGCAATTTAAGGGAGGAGCGCTAATCTGCAGCTCGTGTTGCTGCTTATGTCAATCAAGACTTGGCGCTCTGTGCCTCCCCTATTCTATATTTTTCTCGTCCAGTTGGACAACCTCCGCCTCCCTTTCTTATTGCTTTTCCTTTCTTATTAAGACTTGAGCGCCCATTCTATTATTTTCCCTTTGTTTTCCACTCGCATTTGTTGAAAAGTGAGAAGTGCACTTTGCTATTCCATTGTGTGGCCACATTGTGTCTTAATTACGTTCTTAACTGGACTTGAGTGGCGTGTCCTCTTAGCCGGACTAACAGCTTAACAATGCCTGCAACTGCCACTCAAGGAAAATGCTTTTCTAGTCTCATTCTCACAGCGCCCAACGGTCTAAATTGGATTATTCCCTGGAGATTATTGGCTAAAATGAGCCATTTCATGTATATAGCTTTACTGCGGAGGCATTGTTCTTTTATTTATCTAGCGTAATAAAATAATAATTAAGAGAAATATTTTTAAGTAGCCAAACTTATTTTTCTTTCTAAATATTCGATACATTCTTCATCTCCATAAGTATTTATAAACAACAGCAGATATAGCCAAAATATATCCCCCAAAATCGAGTGTCGAAAGAATCAATAATATAAATTTCCTGTTTTTATGTAATAACTCCCGATGCTAAAATTAACACCACATACAATTTTCCACGCTCTCTCCTCTTGCTTCCTCTTCCTACTTCCGCCCCGAAGGCGGAAGCAAAGAGGAACCCGCACAAAATGGCGTGGGGGGAAAAAATTTAAAAATAACAAAGTGTAAATCATACGCGTGGTAAGATTGCCTGGCGGTTGCTCCGCTGGTGAGTGGGTGGAAAATCTATGTGGATGGGGCCAGGGCTGAGCGAAAATTCAGGGGGCCCCAGGAAAACGCACTCAAGCACGGAGCACAGGCCACATAACAGATGCTAATTAATGGCGGCTGCGGCAAAGGGAGCCACCGTAAAGGAGTCTGCAGGATGCAGGAACTCGGTACCGAGTACTGAGTACTGAATCAAGGACAAGGACAAAGATGGCAAGTGTCTGTCGGGAATGTGCCGTTAATTGCCGACAAATGCGTCGAATTGCGGTTCATTGGCTTGCTCAACTCGGGGAGTCGAGTTGGTAATTTATCGATCAAAGCAAAGCGTTTCCCCCATAATTTTTCCAACCTTTCTACAAGTCAGGATGGACCTATTACTCAATAAAAATAAAAATAATATAACCAATATAAACATAAAACAATTTTATAAATATACATAAAATAATTTTTTTAGCTGCTTAATTCTTTAAATTTTAATATTTTAGTTCCCTTGACTTACCTTTAACCAATTGTCTGAAAGCTTGAGGGTCCTCACAGATTGGGCCAGAGCAGCGGGAACCTGGCACAATCCCGTGCCACTGGCATCCAACTCCTTGAGACTCCAGGAGGCGACGAACTCCTGCATGGCCACTCCCACTTCCGGATTGAAGGCGATCGAAAGACTGACCAGATCGGGAATTCCCTGCAGAGCTCGAATGGCAGAGCCACTCAGGCGATTGTGGGATAAATCCAGATGCTGCAAATTCGGCAGGGCCAGAAAAGTTTCGTAGTCTATGTCCGAAATGTTGTTGTGACTGAGAATCAACGTTTGTAGCTCCACCAAATTGTAGAAAGACTCGCGGGAAATGTTTATCAATCGGTTGTGAGCCAAGTTTAGATTTCTCAGTTGCGGCAATCGCTGGGCAAAGAAGCTCGTGGAAATCTGGCTGAACTTGTTGCACGAAACATCGAGTGTGGCGAGCGCAAGTGATTCATTGGAATCAGCAAGGCTGAGAGGTATAACCTCCAGCGAATTGTTTCCCAGATCCAGCTGCCTCAGCTGATTGAAGTGGTCCAAGCTGAGGCTTTCGAGTCGATTGCCACTCAGATCCATGGCGGTAATCACCTGGAAGTCGCCCTTCCACTGACCACCGCTGCTATTGAAGGTTCTCAGGTCGCGGTGGGTGAGATTTAGCTTGTTCGCCGGGGCATTTAATTCCAGCTCCCTCTTGTGGCGTTTCTGCTGGTATCGCAACTCCCCCCGAAAGCTGGCCGGTTCGTTCTCGTCCCTCAGCATTCGATGGATGCTCTGGTAGCTGAGACCACCCACATCCTGCTGGGATAACTGTCGCTCCTCCCGCTCGGCGGCCAGGCGCGATGGGGTGGGCACTTCGAGCAGATGGGCCGAAACCACCAGCCTTGTTAGCCATGTCCAGGCCAGGAGTAGGACCAGGCCTAGATCACAGTGTTGGTTTACCAATTTCACCATTTTGCGCCCCGTCGTTTTTTTCGTTTTTATTTTTTTTTTTGGTTTAAATGGGAAGGTTTTCCGTTTTTGTCCTTTTTCCCAGCTCTTTTATTTCACTTGGAATTTATGCTCGGTACGTGCGAACGTTTAACGTTCAATTTTGAATATGGCTGCTGGCTCATTCATTTCCTCGTTCATCCGTTCGCTCATCGGTCTATGGAACTCAGGGGCGTCACGTGCGCGCCTTTTTGGCCAAACATGTGACAAGTGTCGGCGGCAGTCAGAGGCGGATGTTGCCCGAGGGCAATGGCTGCGTTTCCGGTCCGGCGGCCATTGCTCAAGCTGCGTGCTCGAATTCCATTGCACCCGGGATGCTTGTGATGCTGATGGTGAATTTTTAATTAAATCAACTTGATCATTCTATTCCGGGTCGTCTGTTATTCTTTCACCCCCTCCGCGTTTTCAATTCAACGTTCTGCAATTGTTTTACAATTTTAATTGCGCTCCTTTGTGTTTTGTTTCTGCGTTTTTTGTTCTTGTTTTTTTTCGTGATGCTAATTGCTGTTGAACAAAACGCAACGCAACTCAACTCGAGCAAATGTCAATTAAAAAGCGAGCATTCCTGCTACTCCTGACGCCCCTGGTTTTGGTCCTGTTGTTGTTTTTAGCCAACTGTTGTCACATTACAATGCCAAGTGCTCCCCCGGCGTCGTTGTCGTCGCGTGCTTAAAATCTGTAATAAAACGTGAAAAAATTGCTTGTAATTACGCTCTTGTTGGCTGTGTTGTGCTGTGCTGTGCTGTTCTGTGTGTGTGAATGCAAAAAGGTGGCAAAAGGTAAAACTTGCTTTTAAATATCTTTCTCCTTTTCTTCTCTCCTCTTTTCATCGCATTTTAATTTCTACTTTGGCTTTACGACTTCAGAGCGCTTTGGCAGTTGCCTTTAGTGTTATTTTTATGTTGATTGCAGCTAATGAAATTATAATTTCAACACGCCACGGTTTTCACGATACAAGCTAATGGGGAAAGGGGATACTTTCCAATCCTGTCAGCCGCTTGCCACTAAGCCCCGGTAATAAACCCCAGCCAACTGTCTGTGTGCTCTTGCCATAAATCATTTAACTGGGTCATTTCATTTCCGGCGTAGACAAGCGACAGGAAGGCCACTGAGCAACCCGACTGTCAACTGAAAACCCACAGCAGCTGGCCCCAAAACGACGCAAATTTGATTTACTCATTGCCGGCCTAATGACGCTCGAATGTATGCTACACGTTCGTTTTTGGCCTTTCTTGTCGTCCCTCCCAAGTGTATTTCGGGCATCCCTCCTTCTTTTGGGCTTTGGACAACCCAATTCTGGCAAATTAATTTGTCAATGTCTACTTAAAATCGAGCATGGCATTTTGATAACCCAACACAGCGAGATTTAATAACTTGTTTCGGAAGATTGCAGCCCATTCATGGATGGTTTCGAAAGGCGATTGGAAAGTTTTTATTGCTTATATGATTACAAAATAGTATTGGATTTATAGAGAGTGTATGTAAAAAAATTGCTGAATTTATTTAAATATTTATCGCTTTACATTCCTAATATTGTTGCGAACTTTTTATGGACTCTTTAAGTACCAAAAATTTAAAGCTTTACTTAGTTATCAATATTTTAGCTTTATTTGTACATGGTTTCCTTGCCATTACACACAAAAATGTTGAACCACATTCCAGAGACTTTTACTTACATATATATTATATACAAACACAAATACGGGGACAAAAAGGCTCTGGCTGGTTTCCGTTAAATTTATTGACAAATATCATCAAGAAGCTGGCGTTTCATTTCATCTGCTGCCGTTTGCTTACATAACAGTAAAATTTGGGCCATAAGTTTGGCGACATTCAGCCACCCATCCTTTACACCCACCCCCCTAATACGTAACACCCCTGCTCCCAGACGTTCAATTCAGTCAGATATTCAGACAGGCAGATGTACGCAAGTCAATTGACATGAAAGTCGATTTCAAAAACCAACAACAAATGGGGGAAATATCAACAGCAGAAGCAGCAGCAACAACGTGAGCTCTGTCTGTTTGCCAGGAGAAGATTGACGCATCCCACAGTTTCTCAGGGGGTGGTGTCCTTTATTTGTGTGGGAAAGGGGCCTTCGAAGGGTGCCTGTCATTTTATTTTATGCCAGCTTGAAAATAATTTGCAAATTGCTGTGCCATATTTTTCTCGTACTTCTGGCCTGTATTTTATTATCAGACATAAGCGAGGGTTGTTTGCTCAAATTTGTCAGCGACTTTATTGCATATTTATATGTCAGACCTGCCCCCTTTTTTTCTTTATTATTTTAGTGCATATTTTTGTAAGTTAATCAAATGCCCGGCACAAAGCAAATAACTTGCACTGCTGCAATGTTCAAGTACATTATTCGTAGATGCAAATGCCAGAAGAGCACAAAGAAGAAGAAAACTTTGGCATGAAAGGAAAAAGTGCAGCATGGAAACGAAAAAATTCTAATTTCCTTTCTGTTAGTTTAGAAGTTTAAAAAAAAAATATTTTTAAGTGCTTTTCACAAAGATTTAAAAAAAATACATTTAAATAAAAGGATGAATGGTTGAAATCTTATCCCAATAGCAGTAGTTACAAAAATTTAAAATATATTTATTAATAAGCCGATTTATTTTTTAGACTTTTACCAAATTTATTATTTTACATTAGTTGTGAATAACATTTTTTAGTGGGTAGCTTGAAGGCTCATAGAGACTTTCTATGCCCTTTACTAGGATATAGAAAGGAAGCTGCTTAAATAAAGTCAAGGCGCACTCAGTGGGAAAGCTGAAATTGGATTTCGCAGCCCCTCCTTTTTTCCCAGAGCGCCCAGCATACGTCTGTGATTTATTTTAAACGTATTTAGATGCCCCAAACCCGAGTTCCCCGAACCGGAATCCCCGAACCAAACATGGCTTTATCAACGGATGCGAAATGCAGATGACGGGGCAAGGACATGGCCACATGGCAGTCCTTCCATTCCTGCGCCATTGCATTTCATTGAGTCGGTGCTTTTTTCTTTTCCTTTGCAACTGCTTTTTGCTTCAGTGGTGCGCTCAATGGTGCAACAAAACACACACACACAGCCAAAAATTGTATCTCTATGCCCGTCGCGGCTGGTTGCATTTTTCCAGACACGCTGGCGTATACGTAATGCACTGCATTTACTCCTCTATCGCGCTCTGTGTGCTTTATTTGTATGGAAATGTTACTGCTGGCCCGAGCGGTGTCTTTGTACTTGGATCTTCTTTGCTCAGCACGAACGGCATGTTTATTGTTTAAGTGCGCTTCCTGCGCTTCTTTCAATGCATTTACCCTCCTTTTTTCTCTCAACCTACTATCCCATTGCGCCCTTTTGTTTGCTGTAGTTTTAATAAACTTCCGCTTTACCCTTGGCTTCATAGAGTTCGCCTTGTGTGAGCGACATGCTTTCGATGCTGGTGCGGTACTGCACTGGAAAAAATGTCTTGAAAACTATAATCAAAAATAATTAAAATTTTCTAGAGGTCCTTAAGATAAAAACACGTTTTTAAAAAATATCTCAATTTATTCCTGATTTTTAAGACACAATTTGGATGCTTGGCTTAAAAAAATTTAATATCCTTCTTCATATATTGTCCATTTTTTTTGTGCAAGTGTTCGGGAATTTGTGCGCGTCAGCTATCCTGCAGAAGAACCCTGCAACCCAGCATCTGTGTCAATGTCAGGCACGTGCGGGCACGTGGATATGCATGTGGGACTTAAACCGCTTTTAGGTCTGGCATCTTTAAGCAAAATGTCCAACACTTGGCGAACAATTTGCCACGACACTTGGTCGATTTTCAGCCATCGATTTGTTTTTATTTGCTGAGCATAAAAGTTTTCAAATTAAAGTTTATTTCTGGCTTTCGACTGTCGAGCCAGAACGAGCTGGCAATTTGGCAGCAGCATCAGTTCGACGGCCTAGACTGACTGTAATATTGGCAGATAAAGTGGGTGGAAGAAAAAGCGTAACGATAAGGAAAAATCGAGCAAAATTGTGCGCCTAGTCGTAGGTGTTTGGAAATGGGTTTCTTTTCATGTTTCGCACAAAAAGTTTAGGAGATTTATTGATGTATAGCAATTGAGTGAATTGGATGGAGGACTTGTGATTATTTTTTAAGATTTTATATTTGACTTAAGAAATTATTCTGTCATTCTTAATTTAAAATATTAAAAGAAAGAAATAAATACATTTTTTAAAGTAATTAAAATATTTCCAAAGGTAAATACTAACATTGCCTGGCCAGAATCTCTACAATATTTATTATGCATGGCCTTGTAATATACAAGTTTCTGGTTTTCTTGAAAATATATGAGGCCTAGAATATGAACGAGATTTGTCATTCCCATCAGCGGGAGATTTCTGGGGAGCACATGTCATTGACTTCCGTTCGCATTCTGCCGCCATGTTGTGCTCCTTATTAATGCCCTGCGGTAAAACGGGGACAACCCACACCGGGAAAAGGCCACCCACCCAAGGCCCATCCCAAGCAACCAAAAACACATAAGTAAAATCTGTAATAAACTTGTTGTTGTTCTCTCTCCTTGTCAGTGGGTGAGTGTGTGGGGCTTTTATTGTTTTATTTGTGTGCGTCCTTTCAGGCAAGTTTTTATTTCTGCTTTTCTTTTTATTTATTCTTTTTTGTAGTTTTCCTTCTGCTTTTATTTGTTAAATTGTGTTGTGAAAAATCGCTGAAGGCTCAGGGCCGCCGCAACAGAGCCGGGCCTCTTGTGTATGTTTACTTGGTCGCTTTTTGTTCCGTTTCATTCTATTTTTTGGGTTTTTGGGTGTTTGTGTGCTTGACTTCGTCTTGGGCTTTATTTTGGTAGCCCAATTTTGGTTTTGCTCGCAGCAGCTTATCTTCCCTGGGACCTTGAATGCGGCAAAAGAATATTTGTGATAAAAAATAAAGGAGAAGAGAAGGGAACGCTGATGCTGAGTGCCATGGGTACACTCATTTTTATTATCTTTCTCATATTTTAACCCCTTTGTCGTGGCTTAGTTCTGGTTGTGGCAAAGCTTTTTATGAAATTGAAAAACTTTTTCAATAACTGCGCATAAATTGCTGACCCCCACTCCATTGTTCGATTACTTAAAGTAGTCCCATCTTTCGGGCTCATTTTGTCCAGCTCTCGAGCTAAAATATTACTCGTGGCTAATATAGTAATATGGAATGCCATCTTGGTGATGCGAAAACCAATTCCACTTTGGGTCAACAGCCCCAACAAATTGTGCGGCTGACAGACACTGAAGTGGACCTGATTCCGAGCCGCTGGCACTCATATTTCCTTGTCCGGCACATAAAGTGACACAATGATTTTCTAATAATTTGCCAAATTGCCTTTGGTTGACCATTAAATCTGAGATACGTGTCTGTGTGATAGCCGGATTATGTTCACACAGATACTCTTGTACACAGGACCACGCCCACACCCCCACACCCCCACGCCCACATGCCCCCACATGTCTGAGCAGTCAGCTAGACGAAATTCTTCTGGCCAGGACATAACTCGAGACTTTTGGCAGCATCCTTCGCCTCGAGTGTGGTGTCATCGAGTTTCGCCTCCACGTCCTTCTCCTGGGCCCTTAAAGCCGTGGTCCTTAAAGTTCTTTGCTCAGCGGGTCATGGAAAATCGTGAAAATAAATCTGTGACTAGTGCAAAATC